GTGGCTAAAAACTGTCCTTAACTCCAGTTCCAGGGGAATCCTAAGCCTTCTTCTGACCTCCGTGGCATTGCATGACATGGGTGCACCCACATACATGCAGGCGATACACTCATACACATAAAATAAAAATAATAAAATATTTTAAAAAGTGATAATCATAAATAACAATTTGTAATATTTTTAACAAGTCCTTTACTATGTGTGAGTTCATCTACTTCTTGCTTTCTTATTCTTCTACATTTACTTACAAAATACTTTTACTACAGATAAGTAAACTGAAATGTATTGAAGTTAAATAACTTACTCCAAGTCCCACAACTTACAAAGGGGCCTAACTGTGACTTGAACCTATGTATGTTTCTAAAGCCCGAGCCTTGTGTATTTAGTCAACATAATAAATCTGTGTTGGGTTAGAGAGATGTCTCAGTAGTTAAGAGCAGTAGCTGTTCTTGCAGAAGACCCGGGTTCAAATGCCAACACCCACATGATGGCTAACAACCATCTATAACTCCAGTTCTAATGGATCCGACACTTTCTTCTGACCTTGGTGGGCACTGCATGACATGGGTGCACTTACACACATGCAAGCATAACATTCATACACATAAAATAAATAAATACATTAATTAAAAAATAAAAATAAATCTGTGAACAAAAGCCCTTCCCCCAAACTATGCATCTTCAAACTGAACCTTCTGCAAGACTGATCAACTGCTTAGAACTTCAGTGATTGTGGAGTTTGGAATGTTTCAGGCCCAGAAGCTAATTGCCATTTATGGTGGACCATCTTTAGCCCCTAAATAGCCATTCCTTGCCTACCACTGTGCCTGATTTGAGATCCTTTGGCTGACAGATAAAAACCATTTGGCATGTATTAGCTTAGCAGATTACCAGCTTCCACCAACCCAAGGCTAAGAAGCCTGTCAGCATCTAAGGCCTAGGAGCAGAATTCTCCCCACTTTGCTATAACCTGCCTCTCTGAAATCTCCACCAATGTGTTTGAAAGGTGTCTTGATTTATGACTTTCTTTGTTCTACTACTATAAATACTTAATGAAACTGCTAACACATTGGAACATGAAATTTGGGGTAACCTGAATCTGTGTTCCTGGGCTATGGTCACTCATATTTGGCTCCAGAATAAACTATCTCTTATCCCCTTTGAAGTGAGTGTTGGGCTTTTGTGTCGACTTGTCCTTCTTAACCACAATGGTGCTCAGAGTGCCTTACTGCTGGTAGGAGGGCAGAGGCAGTACTGGAAAACACACTGCAATTAAAGCCTGAGTTACCAGTGCTGCGTGTGTTTAGCCCCCACCCCTGCTAATGACTCCAATGACTGTCAGCTGAGAGAGCCTCCTGATCACCTACTGAGGTCACCGTCCTATGGCAGAACAAATTTCTGTAGTTTTAATTCATAAATGCATTTGTCGGCTAGAACATAAAACTAGTTCCTCTTATCTGTGTCTCTGCAAGCATGTCGCTTGAAAATGACTGGCAAGTTCTGATTCCTCTTGGGGTATTGTGAAGCTGTGGAAATCTAGGATTTGCTAAATAAGTATGTAATAATACAAGGACCTAGAGTAGAACTCTAAGGATGACATGACAGTGACTTGTAAGCACTATCATCCTTACAAATTCTATGCAGCATCCTGCAACAGAAAGCATCTGAAGGTGTTGATAAATGGTCCTTGCCTCAACAGCTTGGAACGAAGCACAGAAGATGCAGGTGACCCCAATTAAGGATGTGCACAAATCTGAGAAGTGTTTCCATTTGTTAGAAATGAGAATTTAGGGCTTTTCCCTTGCTGCCAAATATATTAAAACATGCTTAGCTTTCTTAGGTAATTAGTTGACTTTTCAGTGTGTCAGGAAAAAAAGTTATTTAAAATGACAAACTGAGGGTTAGAGAAATGGCTCAGCAGATAAAGGTGCCTACTGTCACAGCTGACTACAAGAGTTTGATTCCTGGGACTCAAATGGCGGAAGGAGAAAACTGATTCTCACAGGTTGTACATACACACACACACACACACACACACACACACACACACAAAGTAAATAATTTCTTTTTGCAAAAATGAGAGAAGTTTAAAAATAGAGGCACAAACAGACTCCCTTCCCATGGGAGCCAGAGGACTACAAAGGCACGTGTTCTGTCTGCTTCTTCCACTTGCTGTCCAAAGGCAATATTGACTAGTAAAATTAAAAATTTTAGCACAAAACGTTTGGAATTTACCAAGTTTAATGAGTTGGCTGCAGATCCTCAGTTATAAAGCTATGAAAACCCTGATTTCATTTGGAGTGGTATTTAATAGTTCCCTGTGCTACCTAGACCCTCTGCTGCCATCTTCTCCATCATTTTGTCAGCAATGACTCCTTATTTAACCAGCTACTAGGTACAGTCAGTTCTACTTTCTTATTTTATTTTTGGAGACAGACTAGCCTAAAATTCTCTATGCAGCCAAGAATGACCTTGAATTCCAGTTGCTGGAATTATAGGTGTGTGCTGCCATGCCCAGCCAGTTACACTTTCAAAATATTTCATGTTCATCCCCACTGACCCTCACTTCAGACTAACAGTCCAAACCTGATTATCTTGAACTTATTCTTTCTCCTGCACCACTTTCATTTCCCATCAATCCACTCTTCACGAAGACGCCAACAGACCCAAGGCCCCTTGAAACAGTGCATAGCTGACTGTATGCACACCCTTCCTCTCACCTGCATAGTAAATCCCAACCCATCAGCTGCTCTTTGAAGGTCTTTCTGACCTGGCCTGTTCCACTGGGAACTACCCTTTTTTTCTCTTTAGAATGTACCACCGGCTGGCCTGGAACTCACTATGTAGAACTCACAGAGACCCACCAGCCTCTGCCTCCTGAGTGCCGGGATTAAAGTTGTGGCCTCCATTCTCAGTCTGGAGTTACTTCTTACGCTTTTATGCTTTGGAGGACTTGCTGGACTTTCTCAAAAATGTCATATTGGTGCTGGAGAGATGGTTTAGTGGTTAAGAGCACTGGCTGTTCTTGCAGAGGACCTGGGTTCAATTCTCAGCACCCACATGGCAGCTAACAACCATCCTTAACTCCAGTTCCAAAGGATTCGATGGTCTCTTCTGATCTCCTCAGGCATTGCAGACACAGGTGCACTTACATATATGTAGGCAATACACTCATATACATAAAAAATAAAAATAATAAAAATTTTAAATGTTATATCATTTCATTTATTTGGTTTAGAATATGCTGTTTTGTTTGTTTGTTCATTGTTTTCTGCCTGAAAAGTTCACCTTCTTTTATTCCCTCAGTCTCTCAATCCAACCTGTCCCTCCTCTCATTCTCATTCCTTACCTGACATTCTGGCCTTGCCCTGAAACTCCGTGCTGCACTCCATCCCGGACATGGCTAATTTATTTAAGTATGTGCAAGGTCAGGTTAGCCAATGGGTACTGTAAGAGTAGTACCTAGGGTTCACAATGCTTTGAGGAGTTCATGAAAATATTCAATTTCACTTAAAATCAGAAGAGAAATAGAACTTATCAAGAAAATGTTTAAATATATAAATATTATTTTTAGGAGAAATATTTCATTACAGCATTAACATATTCAATAACAATTTCCAGAGCAAAGATGAATCTCTTTCAAAATTAGCTGTAAATTTTTAGGTTCATATTTGAATTAATACAGTTATATGATGTTGAATTCAGTATAAACCCTATAAGACATAAAATTGAACGAGGATTTAACCTTTAAGAAAAGATCTCCATTTCATTTTAAAATATACTGTTTCATACAGAAAAACTCATTTTAAGGCTACTAACGCTTAGATATTTGCACATGTGTCTTTAATCTCGATGTATCTGATTATCATTAGTCACAGTCGGTTATTTTCTGAGATACTTGGCACCTGAGCATGGATATGGCAGATTTCAATGGTAATGTTTTGTTTTGTTTTGTTTTTTAATTAGAAGAAGCATTTCATTACAACAGCATTAACCTATTCAATAACATTTTTCTGAGCTAGGGTACATCTCTTTCAAAATTGGCTGTACATTTCTAGGTTTACAGATGAATTATTACACTTATATAATCTTTTACTCATTATAAACTCTATAAGACATAAAATTAAATGAGGTTTTAACATTTAAAAAAGATCTCCACTTCGTTGTTAAAATACATAAATATTATTTTAAAACATTTATGAACATATGAATGAATATATGTGTATCTTTATATGCACATGTTTATATTTGTACATTCTTATATATGACTACAAACCCACTTTTTTTTTGTCTTTTTGAAGCAGAGTCTCCCTGTAGCCCCAGCTGTCCTGGAACTCACTATGTAGACCAGGCTGGCCTTGAACTCACAGAGATCTGCCTGCCTCTGCCTCCCAAGTGCTGGGACTACAGACGTGCACCACCACGCCCAGTTCAAACCCAAACAGAGGAAGAGGTGTAGGAAGACAGAAGTGTTTATTATTATTTATTATTATTATTTTTATGTGTATAAGTATACTCCTGCCTGCATGTAAGTACACCCGAGTCATGCAATGCCCATGGAGGTCAAAAGACAGCATCAGATTCCCCTGGAACTGGAGTTACAGACTGTTGTTAACCACCACGTGGGTGCTGGGAATTGAACCCAAGCCCTCTGCAAGAGCAACCAGTGCTCTTAACCACTTAGGCCATCTCCCCAGCCACAAGAAAAGTGTTTAGAACCCATCAAAGTCATAAAGTGGTCCTTGCCACTTTATGTTTTTTAAAATTTAGAAAATAAGGAGCTGGAATCGAACCCAGTTCCTCTGGAAGAGCTGTAAGTGCTATTAAACACTGAGCCATTTTTCCAGCCCCATGAAATAAAAATTAAGAAGATCAGAAAATAAAATGAAATTTGATTCACTTTCCAGTAAAAGGTTGCATTCTGAAAGCAAGTGAAAACGATAGCAGTCAAGACTTCTGGAATGATTAAACTAAATGTCACTCGTGATTTTTTTTTTAAGTTTAGAGACAGAAGAAGAGCAGCAATATCTTACCTCAAGCTATGTCAACATCTCTACCGATTCACTGCAAGGCGGTAGGAAGTATCTGGTCTGGGTCCAAGCTGTTAATGCACTAGGCATGAAGGAGTCAACAAAGTTACAAGTCCATCTGGATGATATAGGTGAGGAATGACAAATGCTAAATGTCTTGAATGATAAACTACTAATGTGTTATGCATTCAAATGGTCTACTTCTGAAGCTGGCCTGACCTCGAAGGTGAGGTCTACACCATTGGGCAGGTAGAACAATAGATGGGCAAAAGTATAGGGTTGCAAGCCTTGATTTCACAGACAGAATGGCAGGCATCATGAGGAGGGGCTGGGGGCAGGCATGAGGTCACAAGCTTTTGACCTCCCGTGTAGTGCTATGGGAGAAACCAAAAGCAGGCATGAGGGTCACAAATCTCTGACTTTACAAGCAGGGTCTGTGCAGTGTGGCAGAGAGTGGGGGTTGTGAGCAGGAAGTGGGTGCAAAAATTGCATGCCACCGACATCACAGGCAGGGGAAGCTGGAGGAGGGTGCTAGGGTCACAAGTACATGAGATTACAGGTGGGGGCTGCATGGTGCCTGTTCTAATGATTTTCCGAATTTCATTGGTATAGTTACGATGTCTCCCTTTTCATCTCTAATTTTATTAATTTGGGACTTCTCTTATTTTTGAGTAGTTTGGTGAAGGGTTTTGCAATCTCATTTAAAAAATTTTTTGAAAGAACCAATTCTTTGTTTCATTGATTCTTTGTATCATTTTTATCATTTCCAGTTCATTAATTTCTGCCCTGATCTTAATTATTTCTTTCCATCTATTGCTTTAAGTTTGGCTTGTTTGTTCAATCTTTCTGATTTTTTTTAATGTAGACACTTATAGCCATGAACTTTCCTCTTAGGACTGTTTTCATTGCATCCCGTAGATTTTGGTATGTTGTATTGTCATTTGATTCCATGATTTTTCAGTTTTCTTCTTGATTTCTTCAATGATTCATTCATCATTCAATAGCATATTCTTCAATCTCTATGAGTTTGTGTACTCTCTGTAGTTTTTGTTGCTATTGACGTCTAGCTTTATTCCAGTGTGGTCAAATAGAAAACAAGAAATTATTTCAATTTTCATATATTTGTAAAAACTTGCTTAGTAAGTTTTGCCTATTATATGACAAATATGACTTTGCCTATTATATGACAAATCTTAGAGAAAGTCCCATGGCCTGCAGAGAAGAATGTATATTCTGCAGTGTTTAACTGGGATGTTCTGTAGATATCTGTTAGGTCTTTTTAATCTATGATATCATTTAACTCCAATGTTTCTCTCTTAATTTTTTGATAGGAGGATCTGTCTTACTAATAGTGGTGAAGTCAGCCACTACTGTTATGTTAGGTTGATCTGTAACTTTTCAATTAAAAGGATTTGCTTTTGAAATCGGATACATTCATGTTTGGTGCATTACATTTAAAATTGTGATGTCATCTTGACAGATTGTTCCCTTAATCACTATGAAGTGACCTTCTTTATCTGTTTCGACTAGTTTTAGTTTGCAGTCTTTTTTGTCACATATTAGAACAGTGATGCCTGTTTGGCTCCTAGTTCCATTTGCTTAGAATACCTTTTTCCATCTTTCACCCTCATTTTCTGTATGTCTGTGATGGTGAGGTGTGTTTTTTTGGAGGCAACAAACAGATGGATCCTGGGGATTTTTTGTTTTTGTTTTGGTTTTGGTTTTTTTAAAACATGGTTTCCTTGTAGCCCCAGCTGGCCTGGAACCTACTATGTAGACCAGGCTGAACTCAATCTCACCGAGATCCTCCTACCTCTGCCTCCCGAATGCTGAGATCAAAGGCATACACCAACAAGCCCAGCTGGGAACCTGTTTTTTAAATCCAGTTGCTGGTCTGTATCTTTTGATTAGGAAATTGAGACCATTAATATTCAGAGTTATCACTGAAAGATATTATTTCCTGCCATTTTGATGATTTTTGTAGTGTTTGGTATTTAACTATTCATTATTTGTTCAACTATTGTTACATTGTTGTGTATTCTTTTCATGTGTATGCTTCTCTCTCTTTAATCTGAAGAAATCCTTCAAGTATCCTCTGTAAATCTGGCATAGTGGTCATAAAATTCTTTAGCCTGCTTTTATTATGGAAAATTTTTTTCTTCAATTATGAAAGATAGTTTTGATGGTTGTTTGTTAATAGTTGTTGTCTTCCAGAGCTTGAACTATATCATTCCAAGCCCTTCTGACTTTCAAAGCTTCTATTGAGACTCTTAAGTTATTATGATGAACAGTCTTTTATTTATGACCTGATATTTCTCTCCTGAAGCTTTCAATATACCTTTTTAAAAATATTTTTTTTAATGTATTACTTTTATTTTATGTGTCTGAGAGTATTGCCTGCATGTGTGTAAATGCACCTGTGTCATGCAGTGCCCACCAGGGTCAGAAGAGAATTTCAGGTCTCCTGGAACTGGAGTTAAGGACGGTTGCTAGCCACCATGTAGGTGCTGGGATTTGAACCCAAGTCCTCTGCAACAGTAGCCAATGCTCTTAACCACTGAGTCATCTCTTCAGCCTTTCAAAATACCTTTTTTTCTTGTGTGCATTTAGTGAGAAGTTGTGCAAGGTGGGGTGGGGGGCTTGTTTATAGATTATATAGGGTTAGAAAATAAAGAAAATATATACAGCTGAGGAGTCTGAGCTAAGGTGTCCTTGGGAAACATCTGGTCCCTTCTCTTCCTGGAGCCATTTGACTTGCATAAAACAAAGAGGCTGTTTCAGCTTGGATGTGGCTAGCAGATAACTGGAGCAGGGACAGCAGAGACACATCCTGGCAGAAGGAATGGGTTGTCTGGCTTTTCTGTAGCTGTGGCAACTACATCAGGCTTAGTCCCCAGCACTCTCTTGAAAATAGTTACTATTTGTAAGAACAATTGCTATCAAAGGTAGACCTGCTATGAATGTAGAGCAATAGTCAAATAACAACAAAAGTAACACAAAACTCTTAAACTCCAATTATTTTAGGAAATACAGAAACACTGATAGTATGTTGTGCAGTAAGATGTGAGTTACTTTGGATATGTGTGAAAAGAAAAAAGCACAGTAAATCTAGTGATTAGTGTTGGTGTCATAAAGAAAAAATCAAGGAGAAAAAGTAAATAGAGCTGGGCGTGGTGGCTCATGCCTTTAATCCCAGCACTTGGGAGGCAGAGGCAGGCGGATCTTTGTGAGTTTGAGGCCAGCCTGGTCTACATAGTGAATTCCAGGACAGCTGGGGCTACAAGGAGACCTTGTCTCAAAAAGACAAAAAAAAAAAAAAAAAAAAAAAAAAAAAAAAAAGTAAATAGAAGGGGCGTCAGTTAGGGACAAGAAGGGGAGGCAGTTTTGTCTAAAGGCAGAATGAAGGAGGCGGGGGGAGAGAGAGAGAGAAATATAAGCAGATAACCCGAAAGTTCCAGGTCTCAGGAGGTTAAGACATGGACATCCTTCAAGTCAGGGTAAATTATGTTCTTTAGGAACACCTATCAAAGGGAAAATTAAACAGGAAAAAAAGAGAGGACAGAAAAGAATAGACAAAGGAGGAAAAGGAGAAGAGACAGACAGACAGACAGACAGACAGACTAAGAAGAGAGAAGCACAAAGCTGGCCTCCTAAATTGACACTGAGTATTAAATAAAGGAGGAATAAACGTAAAGAGGAGACAGCAGGATGTCAGCAGAGGTGTCAAGTCTGATTGTAATCTCACTTGGTTGCTGGTTTCAACCTGGATGTTCTCAGTATTCTGTCCCAAGCTTCGAGATCCTATCACACTCCGGGACATGGACCAGGCCACAAATGCTAGTCATACCTCCATGTTGTCCTTCAGAAGTCCAGTTGGGAAATCTGGCCCAGCCCTTGAGCTATCTTTCTTGATGCTGGGCATGCTTCTTGGAACCTGTATCTAAGTTCCCCAGTAGGCTCTGTCTCTGACCCAGTTTCTACATCACTGAGTGCTGTGGGGTTCTGTTGTAAAATTTCTTCTCTGTAGCCTAGAGCTAGTCAACATCTAGTCCTGTAAACTTGTTCTTAGTTTCCTGAGAGTCCAGTTTACTGAGGGGTCTGGGGCTGTATGCTTGTAAGTATTTTAACTTTCACACCAGTCCCATTTTGTAAAAAAGATAATAGCTTATACATGAAGAAACTGAGGATTGGGCCATCACAAAATTTAAGATTATAGAGCTAAGAAGTGTCTAATTTTAATATCCTTGATGCCTCAGTCTCTCTTAGAAAAATAAAAGTACATTACAATGTGTTTGATAACTTTTCTGGTGATTAATGAAATGGGGTTTATGAAGAAATCTCTTAGGGTTCAGCATGAGTACCCTTCAGGGATCACTAAAGTCTTCTGTCATGGCTAGTACCATAACTTCTCAATTAATGGCAATTATTTCAAGTAATAGGCTTGCCTATGAATCTGTTCTGTTTTCTCAATACTGAACTTTAAAACATACACTATTGACTATGGTGATAAACAATACTTCCATTTCACTGCATATTCTTAGGAATGTCAGTTCTCTTCATATGTATGCATTTTTAAAACTTACATTTTGATGTAAAATGCAGCAAATATACTCTTTTCTTTATATATATTTAATACTTTATTTTTATTTTTATTTTATGTGTATGAGTGTATTGTCTGCATGTATGTAAGTGCAACCATGTCGTGCTTTTGTTTGGGATTTTTTTTCTGGATCTTTTCAGGGAAGGGGAAATGCAAGACTAGTCAGAGCTACAAAGAAGAGGGAGACTATGCTTGAGATCATTGTTGGTTTTTATTTTAAAAGACATTTGTGAAAGCCCATCATTTCCTTTACCCACAAAGAACCCCAGAAACAAGATGCAAAATTGTTCCTGATTTCTATTTACGAGTGTCCCAAGCTGCTGCGGTTGGTTGCTTCTCCAGCTTTTCTTCCTTCAGGGCCCTAGTCCCTCCCCACTTAGGAACTGAAGTCCACCAGACTGGAGGTGAGCAGGCCAAGTAGAGAGACCTGGAGCTGATGTTGATGAGCCTGCAGGCTGAGGCTGGGCTGTGAGGCTTTCAGGCCTGAAAGAGAACAGTTTGCGCTCCTGGCATGAGCCATATTCCCTTGTAGCTGAAGTCTGGTCTGGACTTTGGGGAGGTGAGAATTCCTCTTCTAAGCTGGACATAAGCAGCTTGCCTCCTTCCAGAGAAGAAAGTTGATTCTGCCTGTTGGAGAAGTTACTGTTTTCAGTGTTCCCCCTAAGAAATAGAGGACAGACAATGCCATATGGTTAAAAAAAAAACAGTAGGTTAAAAAAAAAAAAAGTGTGCAGTGAAGGGAGGGGAGCTGGAAGGAGGAAAGGGCCATGGCACAGTCTCTCACCTACCCAAACACAGGAGCTCTGCTCCTCCACCTATCCCCAAGGGTCATGGGGGAGGTGAAAAGGCAGAAGAAACTAGAGAAATGGGATGGAGCTAAGTCCAGATTTCAGAAAGTCAGATGAGCCGGGTTTATTTGAAACAAGCAAAAAACCTATTTTCAGAAGAGGGTGTTGGATCCCCTGGAGCTGGAGTTACGGGAGGTTGTTAGCTACCATGCGGGTGCTGGGAATGGAATGTGGGTCCTCTGCAAGAGCAGCCAGTGTTCTTAACCTCTGAGTGATCCCTCCAGCCCAATATACTGTTTTCTTAAAATGAGTTCCTTTAGATAAATTAATGAGGTGTACAGCCTCTCATATTCAGTGTCACTTGAAGTGACACACTATTGAATAGTGTCATTTTTAGGAATAAAAGTATAATCACTAGCAGTTTTATTATTATAATTATGATCGTTTTTGTTGTTGTTTTTGAGACAGGGTCTCCCTATAGCCACAGCTGGCCAGGAGCTCAACACGTAGACCAGGCTGGCTTCTATCTCATAGAGATCCACCTGTTTCTACCTCCTGAGTGCTGGGATCAGAGGCATGCACCACCATGCCTGGCTATAATTATTATCTTAATGTTGTCACCTTCATTTACTTAACACAAATTATATTTCAGAAACTTAGCACACATTACATTTACTTTTCGAAACAACTGTACATGAAAGTACTCTCCCCATTTTACAGATGAAGAAAATGATAAAATATTTTTCCAAAGATCATTCAGCTAGTAAGGAGCAGCAGTAGATTCACCATAGACTTGCTGACTTGCTTTAGGTAACTGGCACCCATCATCCACAGAGGGAAAATCTTAGCTGGCCTCCACCTCCAACTCTGACTTCTCATACTGTGACCAGAAGTTTGAGATTGTTTCTTCTTCTCCTTCTGCTTCCTTTCACTTCTTCCCCAGTGTCCCTCCCGCCCCATTCCTTACCTTCTTGTGGAGGAGGCTCAAGGCAACAAAGCCACCAGATTATTAAGGAATGAATTGTTTTTACTGGGTGACACTTTAAGAATTGCAAGTTAGATAAATGAACTGCTCCATGAAACTGAGCAGAGACGACTTTCCTGAGAGCAATTTCCATATAATAGATTTGGGCTTTAATTACATTAGGAAGGCTGTGCTGAAATACAGAGCAGAGAAATGAATGAAGACACAGAAAGAGGCAGGGCCTCCCATCAGCCACTGTGAACGTTAATTCTCCCCATGGTATAAATATGGATAAACACATGTTGGAAAACAGAACAGCTATAATCTGTTTTATTGCTTAAACGTAACTGGAACCTAAACATAACATCCATGACGGATTTAATAGTTTTTCTAGGAATATAACATCTTGTGGGAATGTTTGAAACATAAGTAATGAGGCCACAGATTCAACAACTGAGTCTTATCACAGTCTAGCATGTGCTTAATAATAGGTTATTTACAAAAGTTTGAGTTTACCCAAACCTAAAAGCTAGTTCTTCATTGCATTATCCATCCATCCTAAACCTCTTTTGGTACCAGCTGGATTTCTCAACAAACGAAGCGTATTTTCGACTTCTCAGAGCTTTCTGCAAAAGCTCCTGACTACCTAAAAACAAGCGAAGACGGCCTTCAAGAATGAATTGGCTTATTCAGGCATAGCAATGCAATGCTGATATACTGCCATAATAAGCTATACGACAAAGAGTATGAGGCAAAACATTTTCAAAGGCAAAATGAGAAGGCTGTATAAATTGTTTTGGATCAATGATCTTTGACTACAAGGATCAGTAACAAAAGTGGTACCAGTCCAAGGTTGTCCAGGCAGCTGCTAGGCAGATATCGTAGAAGCATATTCTGTATGAGATCCTGGCTCTGGCGGAATGTTGTGATCAGACACATGGTCATAAATACGCTTTCTTTGACACCTCCCAGTTTTATTTACTTTTTGTGGTTGTTGTCAGGAGGACTTGACATAAAGACTACCTTTTGATTCTGATAATCTTGACAGGTCTCAGAATGCTTCATGTTGCTAATCCAGTGGCCAGGCCAAACTCATGTGGGAGACAGGAGGAGGAGGAGAATTTATAGCCTTGATGGTACTTAAATAGTTTTAAGTACTCACAGAGACCTGAGCATCTACCTTCTTTTTTCCAGAAATTAAACAAAACTGATTCTTGTTAAAAGAAGCTTATACTAGCAAAAGGAAACCAGCTGTAGAAGTCAGGTGAACATTTTACCCTCTGTAATTAAATTCATTTTACTTTGTTTTTTTTATGCCATTTAGTCCTTTGCAATATCACGCAACTAGAAAACAAATCTTTAGTTTTTACATTACTCTATAGGTTACCTGTGTAAATAATTTTAGATGATTATTAATAAAGGAATAGTTTCCCAAAGAACATTTTATAGTTAGCATAAATAAAAATGAATTAATTCATTGAGAACATTAAGTTGTAGCAATGGTCCCTGAAGGCTAGATGCAGATTTTTGAGTTGTTAAATAATAAATCTAACAAAGATATAGGTTTTTACCCTTATGTTATGCATATAGAGGAAATGAAAGGTGTCAATAATCTATTCTGTTCTGAGAAAATAAATTTACAAGTGTTCAGAGCGTTTACAAATATAGATATTCCAGTTGTACAATTTTCCTAATACAACAAACAACTATCAGATTCATCAGAATGTCAAACCCCCTTTGCAAGTTATTAGCAGAACACTCAACAATCTGTATACTCTTAGAGGACCTGTTTACTGTAGTGGAGAACAAAAAAAGTTAGCAATAGATGTTCATAGATTTCCTTATTACACAATAGAAGAATATTATTGGGAAAGGTCCCAATTTAGCATCTTATCAAGTTATATTCTCTAAAATAAATGACACCGCTAGCTTACTGTTATGACAAAATACCTGAGAAAATCAACTTATAAGGAGGAAGGATTTGATTTGGCTCACTGTTTTGAAGATGTCAATCCATGATCAGTTTATTCTGTTGCTTTGGCATCTGTGGCTAGGTGGCACATCATGGCAGAGAGCATGGTGGAGGAGGCTGCACCTCTTGTGGTAGCTAGGAAGCGAAGAGAGAGAGAAGAGGCCAGAGTCCTGATACACCCTTTTAAGTCATCCTCTTAAAACCTAAGACCTCCCACTAGACTGCATATCTTAGAGTTTCCACCTCTCCAAGTGGTACCAAGCTGGGGACTAAGCCTTTAACACATAGACCAGTTGGAACTTTTAAGATCCAAGTCATAGACGAGAGGATGCCTCCTTAACCTCTTTTTTATGCTCTCAATAATGAGGCTGACTCTAGAGTTTTATTAAGCTTATAAGGAGTGGGGAGTCTGCAGCAAGACAGGACTGTTAGCGTCGCTTTGAAAGAAGGGGACAATAGGCTGGGCAGAAATTTCTTAATACCACTTCTCCCCTACATGATAAATCAGATAATAAAACAAGGTTCATGAGCTGCTACTTAGATCATGAATTTGGTATAGTTTTGTCCTTTGAGTTTGGCATGCCTATATATGGTGAAAAGATACCAATTTCTCCCTACAGAAATATAAAAAAAATTTATTTATGTATATTAGTGTTTTGCCAGCATGTGTATAAGTACACCTGTGCATGCTATGCCTGTAGAGGTCAGAAGAGAGCATTGGATCCCCCGGAACTGGAGTTACAAACAGTTATAAGCTGCCATGTGGGTGCTGGGACTCCAACATGGGACCTCTGCAAGAGTGGCCACTGCTCTTAACCACTGAGCCATCTCTCCAGCCCTTTAGGGAAGTTTTTAAACTGCTGGTTTTCTGTTTCTTTTCCTAGTGATACCTTCTGCATCCATCATTTCCAGTGCTAAGACTGTAAATGCTACTGTGGCTAAGACCATAATTCATTGGAATAGCAAAAGCACGATCGAAAAGGTCTCCTGTGAAATGAGATACAAAGCAACAGCAAGCCGAACTTGGAATGTAAGCTTTCATTATTCCGTAGCGTGTGAATCACTGAAAGAAAAGCCAACTACCAGTGTTCAACCTGGACTTAAAATGAATTCACTGCTCATGTTTTTGTCCACTGGTATGATATTTGAATGACTCTAGTTTTAATGATTACTGTCTGCTTCCAAACAGTTGTTTCCTGCAAAGGTCCTCTGCCTTCTGTAAACTGCTAAACTAAGACTGAATCTCCAACTAAATGGACCTATTTTTAGTTCCCGGTAACTGTCTCTTAGGATGAAAATTACATCTACAATCATAAAATTTAAGCAATTTATGCTAAAATTTGACCACCATCCATGGGGGAAAGTATTCAAGATGGAGAACTAAGAACTATTTCTTTTTAAATTAAAAACTGCACAATTCAAATTCTATAAGCCTTAGTCTTAGGTGAGATTAAAGTCAAAGTGAATTTCTAGACAAATGAACTATCTTTTTTTTTTTTTT